GCTTTTCTCTGGTTGCAGCCCAGGTAAGAAAGAAGTAGCAGGCCGAACCACAAAAAATATCTCTGCAAGAAAGACAATTTTTTTAACAAAACAAAACTTTTGTCATATTTTTTTATATTGATTAAGAAGGGGAAGGTTTTTCTTTAAGATGTGAAGTCTACTGCTAAAAGAGCGGACATGTTATCTGGCTGACGTTTCGTGGGAGGACAACCCTAACAAAAGCCCCGTCACCGTGGCACGGACCTTGACGCAGGGGGATGCCGCATCGGATGGCTCGAGACATTCTTTGTCTGCCTACTCCCAGCGAACGCCCATCGGATGGCTCGCGAGATCATGAAGGCTTTTTGCCATTGGGCCCGAGAGGTGGTTCATGAATATTTGTGTTTAGGCTGACTTTTATATAGAACTTGGCATTTTTAAGCTTTTTGTTTCTTAAATCATCGAAAAATCTTGGTTTTTTTAGTTTCTTGAAGGGCATCTTTATTTGTAAGAGGGTAACATTTCTTATTATAAGAGGGGTGACATTTTTATTAAAAGAAGGTGTAATATTTTATTATAAGAGGATTGCATTTTTATTATTAAATGATGGCAATTTTATTTTGTAAGAGCATACCATTTATTATAATATGATATCATTTTTATTGTTATGAGGATACCTTTTCACTATTTAGGATGCCATTTTTATTGTAATAGGATGTTATTTTTATTTATAAGATAAGAGGATGACATTTTTATTTTGTAAGAGTGTGTCATTTTTTATAATAGGATGGATATTTTTTTAGGATGGCATTTTTATTATATAAGAGGGTGGCATTTTTTATAAGAGGGTGGAATTTCTCCTTTAAAAGATAAGAGGATGTCATTTTTTTAATAAGAGGGAGGCATTTTTATAATTAGAGGATGGCAATTTTATTTATAAGCGCATGGCATTTTTATTTTATAATATGAGGAGAATTTTCTATTATTGTGAGGACGTCATTTATTATTATTATTTTAAGAGGGATTACATTTTTAGTATTTAGTGGTGGCATGTTTTTACTGCCATTTTAATAGTGGCATGGTAGTTTTATAAAGTAGCATGGCATTTTTCAGGTTTCATATCATGGCACACATAATTTCACATTTTTCTATGTTTAGTTAATAAGAAAATGTGTATTTTCATAACATTTTAAAAAAGCAGTAAACTGGCCATGTGGCCCAACGGGGGTGCGCCCCGGGAAATTGGTCCAGATGGCAGTTTACTGCTTTTTTTAAGGGAGTGATGTCTAGTTATTGGCATCCTAATAGAGATAATTACTTGCCTCTTGATGAAGAATTGAAAAATACCAAAGAACCCAGAAGCACACAAAGACCCCTCAAGAAAATAAAATTACAACTCAACCCAGAAACATTACAAAAGAGCCCCTCGAATGGAGAAGTAGAGTGCAATCAAATCCAAATCCATGGCAAAGCTCATCACCATTGGGGACGCAACCAGTTGGGGTTGTGACCTTGCTGCCAATGACGGCTAAGCGGAGAAGAAGCAACCGTCAAGCCATCACCAGTAATCTGCCCCCATACAACATCATTCCCTAGAGAACATGCCGATGTCCTTCCTCTCTACGCGTCCAAATACACAATATAGATCTCCCTTACAACAAAAAATGCA